ATGCATATCATTATCCAAGTCTACCATAAAGAGAAGACTTCATGAGAGGAAATACAGAGGGTTCACCACAAGGTGCAGACCATTTGTAAGCCTCAAGATTAGGAAGGTCAGATTAGACTTGGCCAAAAAAATATCTTTAAAAGCCAACCTAGTTGTGGAACAACATTCTCTGAACAGATGAAACAAAGATCAATCTGTACCAGAATGATTGGGGGGTGGGGGTGGGGGTAAAGTATGGAGAAGGCTCGAGATCCAAAGCATATCACATCATCTGTAAAACATGGTGGAGGCAGTGTGATGGCATGGGGATGCATGGTTTGCAATGACACTGGGTCACTAGTGTTTATTGATGTGACAGAATACAGAAGGATGAATTCTGAAGTGTATTAGGGATATGTTGTCTGCTCAGATTCAGGGAGATTCAGTAGACTAGACAGCACTTCACTTTACAGATGTACAAGGACCCAAAGTACACTCCAAAAGCAGCCGAGGAGTTTTTTAAGGCAAAGAAGTGGACTGCAGTTGCCCAGTCAGTCACCAAATCTCAACTTGATCAAACATGCATTTCACTTGCTGAAGACAAAATTTGAGGCAGACAAGCTTGGCAGTGCATCACAAAGGAGGAAACCTGGTGTTTGGTGATGCTCATGAGTTCCAGACTTCAAGTAGTCATTGCTTGCAAAGGATTTTTGACAAAATATTTAAACTGAATATTTTATTTATGATTGTGTTAATTTGTCCAATTACATTTGAGCCCCTGAAATAAGAGGACTGTCTATGAAAATGGTTGCAGTTCCTAAAAGTTTCATATGATAATTTTGTTCAGCCCCTTGAATAAAAGACGAAAGTCCGCACTTCAATTGCATCTCAGTTGTTTCATTTCATATCTATTGTGATGATGTACAGAGCCAGAATAATGAAAATTGTGTCAGTGTCCAATTATTTCTCAACCTAGATATATCTATAACAGCTTTAGCTACATCTTCTCTGAAGAATTTAGACTGAGAGAGAAATAGGACTGCTAGCTCACACATACCCTCCAAACATCCACAAGTTCTGCCAACTTTCCATTTTTGGAATGGCAGCTGGAAAACAATGTCAAAGAAACGGCTAGCACTACTGAAACTGCTTTTAGCCCACTTCACTTCTATATAAGTGATTACAGACTGCTTCTTCATGAAAGCCACCAGTATACATAGTTGCACCTAGAAAACAAACTTATTGCAGTAAAACCAATGCTTGCCCCCAAATGGTCTGCAAAATTTGCTTTCACCATAGACAGAAAATCTTCCATAATTGTCCCTCAAGAAACAGTGACTCAGAAATTTATAACTAAATAACTTTCAAAAACCTATTGTGACGTGCCCTTCTTTCTTATTTTCTGTCTAAAACTTTGGGGCACGCTAGCAAAAAATCTGAGAGAAGAAGGAACAATTGAGAGAAAAAGGAACCATCATGCCTTGTTAATGAAGATCTTTGAATGGTGTCACCTTTGTGGTGGACACTGTTTTCCATTAATCACATCACACAATGAGAAGTGCAAATCAACCCAGGATTTTCTCCCTCCACCAAGGAAGCTTTGGCTTTTTAAAATGCAGATCCTTTCACATAGGTTCAGGCATGTGATTTCTTGAACCAGTGCAGAAAGATGCTGTGCCAAAGGACTTTCCCCCTCATTCTTACCTCATGAGGGTGTATGAGCACACATACACCACAGTGGTGCCTTGATTTACTAACTTAATCTGTATTGGAATGGTGTTTGTAAGTTAAAATGTTCGTAGGTCAAAGCACCATTTCCCATTGAAATGCATGGGAACGGGATTAATCCGTTCCAGCATTAAAAAAAAAAAGCCTAGAGCAAGTCCCACACTGGGGCTGCAAAAAAATTTAAATAAATCACCAAAAACAAAACACCAACCCTCAATTCCCCCCAAAAACAAAAAATGTTTTAAAAAAGATGTGACTGCCGTGGCTGGGAGGTTTGAAGCCTGGTTGGGGTGCTTCGGCAGCTCACCTCCCACTCGCTCCTCGCTGCCCTCTGCAGACCGATGCCACCACTGGTGCCCAACGCCAGCTCAGGAACCAGCACCAACGGCTGCTTGCCGGGGCAGCCGCGTGGGTCCACGACGCCCCTCGCCACGCAGGACTATGGCGGGAAATTCATATGGCGGAGGACTCCCAGGCTCCACCGTCACCACCAGTGCAGGGCTCCATGATCACCCTCTGTGGCCTGGTGCGAACGGGACTCAGCAGCAGTGGTGGCATTGGGCGAAGAGCGCTCTTGGGGGCTTTTCGCATGATGCCATCACTACTGCTGGGTCCCATTCGCACCAGGCCAGGGACTGAGCACAGCCCGGCGGGAATGGGACCCAGTAGCAGCATCGGGTAAAGAGTCCTGAAGAGCAGCCAAGGAGCCATCCGCCAAAGACGGGCTGCGCTCAGTCCCTGGCTTGACGGGAACGGGACCCGGCAGCGGCCGAGCCACTGCATCCCTTTCCTGGTATAGTACTTTCCTGTAGTATAAACGTTTAAAAGTTCCCTTACCCCCCTGCTCTAACCATTGGGAGAAAGAGCTACAAGGAAGCAGTCTCTTCACGGTTAGTGTATTTGAATTTCCCACCACTTTTCCCTGCCTTTTCCATTCATAAGTCAAAGCTCCGGCCGTAAGTCAAAGCAAAATTTTGTGGCTGGAGCTGTTCGGAAGTCAAATTGTTTGTAGGCCAGGGCGTTTGTAAGTCAAACTCTCCTAAACTAACCCTCTCTCCCAAGACTCTGAAAGTTTCTCTTCTGTGGGCCGCACTCCTGTTCTGTTCTGATTTTTAAATAGTTTAAGCATGGAGTGCAAAGCTCGGAGGCAACGGTTTTTTAAAGCTAACAAGCAAACACTTGAGAAAATTGAGAGAAGAAGGAACCATCATGGCTTGTTATTGAAGATCTTTGAATGGTGTCGACTAAAAGGCTATAGGTAGAACTGCAAGCTAGCAGTTCAATTTAAGCATGGCCGCTTAAATCTAATAGACCCAAACTCCCTGTGCAGATTCACAACAGGTGAATATGTGAGTAAAGTCATGGTGTAGTCGCACCCTTAGTCTGTCTTGAAGTACGGGATAAACGAGGTATTGAAAGAGCTCATCTGAAGCTCAAAAGATGAAACATTTTAAATCCATGTTTTGTTTGAAGGTTATAATTTCATGGGAAATCAAAATTTATTTACATACCAGTACTTCTTTAGGTGTCAGAGCTTGGAAGATTACTTTTAAGAAAAATGAAGTTGCTGAAGCTGTCCATAATCAACTGCTATAATATATATATTTTATTAAAAAGAATTATAATAAGTAAATCAAGATTAGAATACCTGGACACTACTGGTCTCCAATTCCCAGCACCCACAGGTATCATGACCAGCAGGCAGGAACTATAGTATTTGGAGCCCAGTACATTTGGAAAACAACAAGTTTCCCATCCAGAAACTACAAAGTAGCTGAAATTCTATTACTTAGTGTAGTAAGTCACATCTGGAGTAGGCAGGGATTTGATGAGTTAATTCTTCCATAAGTAACATTGATTCAGTAGGCCTACTCTCGTTGTGACTCATTACACTAAGCAACAGAATTCTGGACAGTGTGTATGTTTCTAGACATAGCTCACTTTTTTCCAAGTATATCCTCACAAAAGAAAGGGCAGGAGAGTTGCATTTTGAATTAGAATTGAGTCCACCAATATTGATCATGGAAATTCAAATTCTCACTCTGCAGCAGTGCTATTGTTCTGTGTTCTTTGGTTTCTGGTACTGGTACTTCAGAAGTCTCTGGTAGTTTTTTGGGGAGGAAAACAAATTTAGATACGGAGAAGTGCTTTAATTCAGCAGTAGAGGACACTATCTGCATGTAGAAAAGCCCAGATTCAATTCTTAGCATCTCCAAAAAGCACTGGAAAGGATTCCTAAAACCCCTAGAGAGGAGTTGCCCTGGCTTTTAAAATTTTGATTCACAAATCTATTCACTATCTGACAGATTTGTTCACTGAATTAATCCCCTTCCCTCCCCCACTCTAGCATTTTAATTTTTTCTGCCAGTTAAAATTTCAGGGTACTCTGAGCTGCTGCAGAGAGATTTGTAGTATGATCCCTGCTGAAGAGTTGTTGCTAGTCACTACAGATTGGCTTCTCCAATTGTTGTTCTCCAGAGAAGTTGAGTTACAGCTTGTACTGTGCTGATTGGAAGTAATTGGGAGTTGTAGTCTAATACCCAGAAGTGCCAGGTTTGGAAAGGCTAATATATCCAGATGGTACTGTATAATGTAGTCTACCTTAGACAGCATACCTAGGATAAGACAGGTTCATATACTCCTGGTTATATCTCATGGTTTACTTGTATTTTACTTGAAATCTATAGAGTTCCTAGCTAGACAATGATCAGATCCAGACTAGCTTAACAAACTGTGCTTGGGGATATAGTTGGACTTAGGAAGATTCCTATTGGACATTGTGAATAGCTGGAAATTGCATATTGGATGAAGCAGCAATATCTGAAAACAGATAACTTATTGTATCTAGAAAAGCAATTCTGCCCTAGAGTATGTTGCACTTCTTTCATAAAGAAAAGGTGGTGTGGCTAGAGAGTAGACAAATGGGCACCAATTCATGATGACTCAAGCAAGTAATTAAAGCTCCACACTTCCTAGGAAAGCAAAGAATGCCTAAAAAAAACTTCAGGAACTTGAGACATTCTCCCCTGGGAGGATAGTTATATTCTTGAGGAAAACCGTTCACTACCCATTCAGCTGATCTCATAGAAAGGAAATGTTATTTGAACTCAAGTCCATTCTCCTCAGTCTGCACCTAACTGTGGCAAATCTATATGCTCTAGTAGAACAGAATGAAAGCCTCAAGATGCGTTTGCCCTTTTATGGAGACATATTCACCTATGTTTGTAAGAGATAATGATCCACAATGAAAATGCAAAAAGTTAAATATGTGTTGTTGGTGTTTTTCCTTGCAGATGTTCTCAAACAATGATGAAGCCGTCATCAACAAAAAGCTTCCCAAGGAACTGCTGCTTCGGTAAGCTGCCTTCTAATTTTTTAAGGCTAAAACAGGAATTTAGATAATACTTGACTCAGCAAAGACCCAAGCTGCCAGCAAGTGTGAAAAAGAATACCTCTGACCTTTAACTTTGAAAGCCATTTTTTTCTAATACTAAAAGATTTGTGCAAATACTTGCCACAATATTTAGTCAGTTATGTTAACTGTGGTGAAACCTTTCACCGATGTTGATCAAGAGGTTATCCACACTGTATTAGAATATATGAATGTCCAACCCATCACCTCTGTGAGCAATGAGACGTTCAGGGACAGCAATTCAGTGGTTTGTTTTCTTTTGAAATGAAGAAAGCGCTGGATATGTGGTGAATTTGTAAATGATTTTGTTTATCAATATATAAGGAGATTTTTAAAAAAACAAGCAGATTCTTATATGTATGACACCCTAACAGCTAATCCTGCTCAGATGCTGAAACAGCTGTTGTCGAGCTATGCAGCAGTTCAGCAATATTAAATGTTTGTATAGCTAAAAAGAAACTTACTCCACATATTTTCATGTTCTCCTCAGTAATTTTAGAAGTGGAAATGATACATTTCCAGCCATTCAGAAACATTAATATTGTTTTATTAAGTTCCTGCAATCCATAAATGCCTCAATAATAGGCTCACTCATAGTCACTGCAGCAAAATAGTTAAATGTTATTGTTGTATACAGTATTTATGTATTATAAGCTAATTATAACTGCAGGGGAGGCAATTTATTTTTACAATATTGATGTCTGTACATGTAGTGAAGAAGCTAGGGTTCCTGCCACTGCAGGAAGACATCCCAGATCATCTCCTTTCCATAATATGACACAGATATTTGTCCATCGGTGAGCTGATTAACAGATGTTATCTTAAGCAGACATAAAATTGAGTCTGTTGATGAATTCTTGTTCAGCAGTTTTCCCTGGAAAGTTTCTTTAAGGTTTTTCTACTCGATTGTGATCAGAAGCCAAGGTGACAATGGAGACTGAAATGTTTTCCCATTAGTTTTTAGTACTTCTATTTCTAATATGAAATCTGTGTTGATATATTCTTTTGTACCGAGACTGGTAGTGGTCAGTTTGTCCTGTTTAGAAGGCAGTAGGCCTTTGTTGACAAGTCATGTCATACATTATATCACATCAGAGGAGGAGCAAGTACAGTGGTGCCTCGCACAACGATTGCATTGAACTTTCCGTCCAATGCATTCCAATGAGAGAAAATTCAAAAAATCACCAAAAATTAAAGACGACTCAGAACAACACCAAATTAAGTTTGCATAGGGTTCAGGAGGTGGGCTAACGATTGCAAGCATTTAAAACCTGTTCCAAACATTGTAAGGCACTTTTACAGGAGCGAAAAAGGACTTCGCAAAGCCGTTGAAATGTATCGAGTCGGCTTCAATACATTCCAATGGAGGAAACATTGTTTCACTCAACGATGTTTCCTATGGGTTTTTTCACTTAAAGACGGCAATCCGTTCCAATTGGAACGGATTAACCGGCTTTCAATGCATTCCTATGGGAAATGGTGTTTCACAGAACGATGTTTCACACAACGTTGATTTTTTTGGAACCAATTAACATCGTTGTGTGAGGCACCACTGTATATGTACTCCTGGTGATGGTGATGACATGTCCCTCTGTTTACTCTGGCAACACTCTTACAGGACCCAAATGTATCAACTGAAATGTCTGTGGATCTTACAAAGTGGCTTATGGAGTATCAGAATTTATACAAAGTAGACTTCTGGCTTGACACTGTGACAAGACAGCAGCAGGAGGACAGAGCTCTATTCCCTGGGCTGAATTCTGACCTGTTTGGGACACCCTAGGGTGTCAAAACCACCCCAGAGGGGTGGTGAACTGGGGGGGAAGCCTGTTGAGCACAGGGGGGGGGAACGGCGGTCATCCCCGTTTGATCCAGGAAACTCCCTAATCAGCCAACGGGCAGAAACAAGCAGTTTTCTGCTTGCAAGTCATCGGCAGCCGGCAAATAAGAGAAGCAACAATCAGCTATTCAGCATCAGTGTTACTATCGGGTGTGATATATTTTTTACAACTAATTGCTTATGATTACCCCTGGAGAAAACCATTTCTATACACAGGAAAAAGGATCTCCTATCAATCTCATCAATCATAGAGCGGCAGGAAATCTGGAGAGAGGGATAGTTGATGCAAAGAAAATAATTTAAAGATTAATGGGACATTAACTACTCATTTAAATACAGTGGTGCCTCGTATAACGAGTGCCCCATTTAACGACGAATCCGCATGGCGATGGCTTTTTTGCCATCGCTTTTGTGATCGAATTGTGATGTTGCCTATGGGGTAGCCGGGCGCGGCGCGGATCCTAGCCCGGGATGCCTGAAAGGCATCTAGATCCCTCCAACCCTGCCCCCGCCACTGGGATCCGCGCCGTGCCTGGCTACCCCAGCCATGGTTGGATTCCCGGGAGTCCGACCATGGCTGGGAGACCGGCCGTGGTCCTTCTGAGGCCACCGCAGGCATTTTCCCACAGCTGAGCGGGAGCTCCCACCGCTCAGCTGGTGGAAAATGGCGTCATGGCCCCGTTTTCGGCCAGCTCATCGGCGGTTCCAAAATGGCCGCCGGCTGTGTTGCCTCGCTTTAGAGGCACCGAAAATGGCCGCCCTTATGGAGGATTTCCGCTTAGCGGTGAGTTTTCCCCCATAGGAACGCATTAAACAGGGTTTAATGCGTTCC